CACTTTACTCACTGAAAAAAACCTACCTCAGAGGGACTGTATGATGATCCTTCTGGACATGGAAAACAAACACAACATGCATACACACTGATATAATCTTGGCAGCTCCGCCTTTCTTATGATGTTAACCCGGTTGGTTTTACTTTGTTACTTTTTCAAATTCAGTAAAAATCACATTTTTAAAAAATGGACTTGGACCAACATCAATATGGAAGACAAGAATCTTTCTGAAGAAAACGAAAATTATCAATTTACCCTAGGAATACTTTTTAATATTGTACTGATAGACAAATACATTAACATTCTTTTTCACCCCTTTTAAAATGAATTACAACACCAAAAGATGAATAAAAATTGGAAAAGCATCCATGAGCATTTATTTAAATCTTGCTTGTTCATCTTTTTATTATATAAATTAAATGATCCTATTAAAATGGTACAGTGGAAAGGTATTTTAAACAATGGAAATTGATTTCTCACAGTTCTGGAGGCTGGAAGTCCAAGATCAAGGTGTCAGCAGGGTTGGTTTCTCCTGAGGCTTCTCTCCTTGGCTTCTAGATGGCCATCTTCTCCCTGTGTCTTCATATGGTCTTTCCTCTTTGCATATCTGTGTCCTCATCTCCTCTTCCTATAAGAACACCAGTCATATTGGATTAGGAGCCACCCTTGTGACCTTATTTTGACTTAATTACCTCTTTAAAGACCCTGTCTCCAAATATAGACCCATTCTGATATACTGAGTCTTAGGACATCAACATATGAATTTTGAGGGGAACAATTCAGTCCACAGCAGTACACAAGGACAACTCCCACAAACCAAGTCAATATTTTGAACATTTCCCTCAACAAATAACTCCCCACATACCTTTGAATCACCTTGTTTTATTGAATAAATAACTATGGTATATCCATACAATGGAATAGTACAATGGCTATAAAAATAAAGTCACCATAAAATTATACTGGACAAAAACATTTATAATTACCTAGGTAGTTACTTTTACCAATGCCCTTTATTTCTAGATTTGAGTTACTATCTGATGTTCTTTCATTTCAGCCTGAAAGAATCTCTTTAGTATTTCTTGTAGAACAGATCTGCTAGAAATGAATTCTCTCAGTTTTTGCTTACCTTGGAATGTCTTAATTTCTCCTTCATTTGTGTTTTGTTTTTCTTTTTTTTTTTTTTTTTTTTTTTTTTTTGCTGGATACAGGGTTCTTGGTACAGTCTTTTTCTTTCAGTGCTTTGAATATGTCCTCTTACTGCCTTCTGGCTTGCATAGTTTCTAATGAGAAATCAGCTGTTGATATTATTGAGAATCTCTTGTGTGTGATGAGTTGATTATCTCTTGCTACTGTCAAGATTTTCTCTTTGTCAATGTGTTTCAACAGTTTGATTATGATATGTCTAAGTATGAATCTCTTTGAGTTAATCTTGAAGCTTGTTAAATTTCTTGGATGTGGGGATTAATGGTTTTTATTAAATTTAGGAAGTTTCAACCATTATGTCTTCAAATATACCTTCTGCCCCTTTCTCTCCCTACTCTTCTTCTGGGACGTCCATCATGCATCTGGTTGTTTGCCTGATGGTGTCCCACAGGTCCCTGAGGCTCAGCTCATTTTTCTTCTCAACTGAAAATCTCAACTGAACTGTCTTCAAGTTCATTGATTCTTTCTTCTGCCAGCTCAAATCTGCTATCGAGTCCCTCTAGTGAATTTTTCCTTTTGCTTATTCTATGTTTCAACTTCAGAATTTATATTTGGTTTTTTACATGTGATTTGTATTTCTTTATTGATATTCTCTATTTGCTGAGACATCATTCCCATAATTTCCTTTAGTTCTTTGAACATATTTACAATAACTTATTTAAAGTCTTTTTCTAGTGAATCCCATGTCTGGGCTTCTTCCTGGACAGTTTCTATTGACTGCCTTTCTTCCTGTATATGGGTTGTATTTTCTTGTTTATTCACATGTATTTTAAATTTTTCTAGAAACTGGCATTTTAAATAATATAGTGTGGCAAGCTTGAAAATCAGATTCTCCTCCTCTCCAGGGTTTTCTGTTGTTGTTGCTGTTTGCTTGTTTAGTGACTTTCCTGAGATTCTGTAAGGTCTATATACTTTGTGTGTATAGGTCCTGAAGTCTCTGCTTGTTTAGCTCAGTAATTAGCTAATGATTGAACAAAGATTTCCTTAAATACTTGGAACCAATAAGTCTCCCAGTCTTTGCTAATGGGCTCTCTGTGCATGGTGGGGGATGCCTTTGACACTCAGGCAGGCACTTTAAAACTCTGCCTTAACCTTCACTTCCTACTTGCTCAGAGCCTCAAGGTCAGCCAGAGGTGAGAGCTCAAGGCTTTCTCAGGTCTTTCCTGGGCATGTGCATAGCCCTAAACATGCATGTAGTCTTCTAGATTTTCAGGAATATGTCAGAGTTTTTCAAAGAGTCTCCTTCAGGCATCTTTCTCTAGCTTTTCCTTTTGTTTTCTGGTTAGCTTGTTGCTTTTCCCAACTGTTATCACTGCCTCCAAGAAGCTGCAAGATTAAACAACTGCCACTGGTTGTTTCTGACAAATGACCCAAAGGAGAAAGCTATTTGCATTGGATGACAAAGACAAGCCTTGCAAGTGGGGTTTTCCAGGGAACTGCCAGACACGTCCGATAATGACAGTTCTGAGAATGGGGCTTTGAAAGAGCTCCAAAACTCTTTTATGACCCCTCCAGTGGTTGTTAGGCTGCTGGTTTTCACCAAGATTGCAGACTCTTGGTTTTAAAGGCTACCATGAAGCTGAGGGGGGTTAGTGAAAACTCCACAAAGCTCAGAGTTATTACTGAGATTCATCCATTTTACTTGAGTAAACACACCTGGAACTAATTTACAGAGTTCTGAAAGAGCTCTTTTTGTCCATTTTTGCCAGTGTTCTCATTGCTTTTATGGAGGAGAGGGTTCCGGGAGGTCCTTTTCCTACTCTTCCTGATGATGTCCTCGTCTTGGCTGCATCCTGTGTTGTTTCTTCATATCTATATTCCAAGTTTCTAATTCTCTCTTCAGCTAATTCCTTTCTGGTGTTAAACTCCGTTTTGATTTTAATTTTAATAATTGTATTTTTTTAAATTTCTAGCTCTGTTTGGTTATATATAAGGCCAGAAATGAACATGTAGATGGATTTTATTTTCCTGTCTCTATTTTCTAGTCACTTTACAAATAACCTGTACTTCCTTTATGAAAAAAAAGTTATAAAGTTATTTTATCACCTTTTCCCCTTGACTTCCTGTTTCTGCCTTATTCTGATCCCTTATATCCCTGCCATCACCTGCCTTCCCCCATCACTCCCAAACACAGATAAAGAGCTGGTAACTCAGAAAGAAACATTGTTTGAGAAATAAAACCAAGGCAGTGTCACTCTTTTCTTTTCAATACTTAGACACCCTGTAACACTTGTCTCAGGGGCATAAGGAATGGGGCAGGGGAGGCCTTTCTGGGTCACCCAGGAAAACATTGAGAGAGGAGTATTCAGTTTGGGGATTAAGAGGAAAAGCACAGGACTGGAGTGAGGTGGGCGGCAGTGCTGGCTCAGGCTCTGATGGCTGCTGTTGGGTCCATCCCCTAAATTCCTGCCATCCCAGTTTCTTCTTCTAGCCACAAGGAGCAAGTGCAATGCTGTGGGAACATTTTGCAGATCTGAACTCTTCTGTGTAAATACCCACATGTGTCCTCTTCTCCCTACCCCACCTGCATTTGGTACAAAGCAGTTGCCTGACATATCTTATTGGCTGTCCTAACAGATAACATACTAACTGATTGGCTGGCTGCTTTCCTGGATGGATGACCATAGGGCCACAGTATGACTTTCTTGAGTCCTAGGTAGTTTTACCTTTGTGGGCCCTTTACTCCATCTAAAAAAATTAAAAATTATATTTTACAACTGTACTAGTATAAACACGAATATATGAACATTTTCTTCTACCTAAAAGTTCATTTTTTTCTTCTGGTTTTAAAAGAAATTAAAATTTTCATGGGCCCCTAAAAAAATTGTAGGTCTAGGCACCGGGCCAACCCAGCTAGTGGAGAAGACAGCCCTGAAGGAATGACTGAACAAATGCTTCTGTGTCCTGGGAAGTTTCATAAGAGAACTCTGATCTCAGGAAAAAAATGCACCAATGACACTCCCCATTTTTTATACCAAGCCTGCTGCCTAGTTTTCTTTTCTAAGGAGATTGGTGGAGTTTCCCTCATTCTGTCATTTCACATTTAAAAGAAAGCTACTCCTGACTCCTGGGCTGCCAGTAGTTCATACGGGATTTTTGTGCAAATTAGGAAAAAGCTTCTTATTTTTAAGAAGAGGGGGGAAAGCCTTTAAAGGATTATATTATTGCACATTCTGAACAACTGTCCCCACTGGGCCTGGGGAAAGTGCAAACTCAGGCAGGCAGCCCTTCCAACCTCATTTGGGAGCCACAGTCGTGGTCTGCATGGTGGGGTGGTGGGAGGGTAATGCTAATCCATAGCCTCCCGTTTAAAGGCATCCTACAGGTAGTTCCACAAGCCAAACTTCATTCTAAGTCTATGGCAGTAGAGCTCAAGTCCCTGGAAGGGTCAGGCAAAGACTCTGAAAGCAATGGGAGGCTAGAGTCACAGCCTCAGGGTTCTCCCAGAGCAAAGAGTGGACGAGGTACAACCACATGAGTGTGTACCTGTGTGCATGTACACAACTGCTTTCCTGTAGGTGTGTGTGAACTTGCAGGCGAGTGTGGCTTGATGCAAGCCAGAACTCTCACAGTGCTCCCCGGGACTCCAGTGGGAGACCTGGAACCTCCACCACACGCTCTTGTGCATGTTAGTGTAGGTCTACAGCATGAAGGACACCTGCTTAGTCGTGGCACCCTACGCAGGTCTCAGACTGAAGAGCCGCATGCAGCAGCCCTGCCCGGCTCACTGAGTCCCCTCGGCGATGGAAAGCTCACACTCGCATGTGCTAAAGCCTCCGTTCTCCTCTCTGCAGGGATGACATGCCAAGCTCGGAGCTCCTACGTCACCAGTGAGATCCTGTGGGGTTACCGGTTCACGCCCGTCCTGACACTGGAGGACGGGTTCTACGAAGTCGACTACAACAGCTTCCATGAGACCTATGAGACCAGCACTCCGTCTCTCAGTGCCAAAGAGCTGGCTGAGCTGGCCAGCAGGGCAGAGCTGCCCCTGAGTTGGTCTGTATCCAGCAAACTCAACCAACATGCAGAACTGGAGACCGAAGAGGAAGAGAAAAACCTGGAGGAACAGACAGAAAGGAATGGTGATGTGGCAAAGCTAGAGAACGAATCCAAAGTTTAGTCCCCGAGCTGGGCAACTCCTTCTCCCCTCCCCCGACACAACCTTTCCTTGTCTCTCATTCTTTCTTTTCTGTCTCTCTTCCTTTGTTCTTTCTTGATTTCTATTTAATTTTGGCATTACCAGAAAGCAAATCTTCAAGGTGTAAAATATCTACCTGCCCTCTCTCAGTCACTCAGATTGACAAGGTAGACACGGATTTGGTTAAGGTGCAATGTGCCCTCATCGGTGGCCCAAGCCTGCTCTCCTCCCTAAAAACCATACATCCAACTCCTAGAGATTTAACCCACTTACCTGCATGTCTTGTCCAATACCAGATCACTCAAAAGAGTGCGTCAAAGATTTTACCTGGGAAATGATCAGTAGGGTCTCCAGTGCCTATTCATTCATGCCGTGAGACGTAGAACACAGCCCTCAATTTTGTAGATCCCTCTAAATTTCATCGACAGGGCGAGGTGCTTGTCCCATGCGGGCATTGCTGTTATAAGACCCAGGTGAGGTGAAGACAAAGCCTGTACATATATATGCCTTATGTAATTATTTTCTTTTGCAGTTAGTAATAAAACCCAGCATGTACAAAAGTACTGTAGAACAGAACTTCTAAATAATGTACATAGATGTATAATTAATGTAGGTTTAGATACATAACTTTAGAAATATGATGCAAAAAAAAAAAAAAGATTCCCAAAGTACAGTAGGCATTTCTGTTCTTATGTCTTTTCCAAATTTTGTTGGTCCCATTGACCTCTGGCCCTTTAGTGCATGGCCTTTGTTCCAAGTCCCAGACAGGAATCCGTTCCAGTACCTCACTGTTCCCTTGCTGATCCTTTCGTTGAATCTAACAAGCCATAGGTCTGGGGGAAGTCGGGAGGTCCAGTAGATGGCAAAACCCACCATCAGTACACTGATATACTGTGAAATGTTTACAAAACCAAGGTCTCTTTTTTAAGATAACAAGGGCCTCACTGACTAGCCTGGGGGAGAATTCTAGGAGGAGGACATTCTCTGGCATGTCACCAATGTGTTTATATTTTTCACATGAGCTCTCACCCTTTGTAGTACAATAGTTTGAGAAACTTTTCTTCTGCAAAACCATTGATTCTCCAGCTGTTCCATTCCGTAATCATGAGAAACTACAGACTGTGAAAAATAAATGAGACATAGTAAGTTAACAGAAGAAGGTTTGGGTCTAAATCCATGAGATTCCTGAAGGCAGGTAGTGGGCAACTCATATTGTAATCATGGACCTCACACACTTTGACTCCATCTGGCACTCTTCCTGTCCCTGGGGGCCTATCCATCAGCATTTCCTGCATAGGTATTTATTATTATTCTTATTACGAAATGGCCGGAGTTCAATATTCAAAGACCAGACCAACAATCTTGTGACCGCCTAAGAAATTTCTCTAGAGTGTGCTACAAGTTAGAAATCAAATCCAAAATGTCTCCCAATCAAAAGAAAACAAAAAACTGCAGCCTTAATTCATTTCAATCTGCAAAGATAAACATAGAAAAAAAGAAGGAAGGAAAGAAGGAAGGAAGGAGGAAAGGAAGGAAGGAGGGAGAGAGGAAGGAAGGAGGGAGAGAGTATTTTTGTACTGAAAATCTAAATTCCAATATGAAAAAAAAATTCAAATGAAAAAATAAGAAAAGAAAGAGAATCTTAGACAAAACCTCAGGGGCAGGTGGAGATTTTGCACTGTAACAGATCTTTCACATTAATTTCACATTTATAAGCTGTTTGTTTCCTAACACGGTCGTCTATCATAAATACTCACTGACCAGATCCAAGTTCATTTTCAGCTCCTACAGCTGTGCTCAGTTTGAGGCTTTGCACCACAAAGGCCGCAGAACTCAAACTAGCTGTCCGTCCCTGTGCCCTTGCCTTCCCTGACTGGGTCACATAGGCCTTGCTGTAGTTTGGGGACCTTGACTACTAAAAAGCATGTCCCAGTGATAAGGAAAGCGGACCCTCAGTTTAACGTGGAGGTCTCCCTTCTCCCACTTCTGACACCTTGTATCAGGACAACTGCTTCACGGAACACGCTTTATGGAAAACAAACTGTTGGCCATAGCCTTTCCTGTTTGCCAACATTTCACTTTTTGCATTGAATATCTGTTGAATCATTTATTCATTCCACACAATCTAAAGAAGAGGTTGTAGTCAAGGAGGAGGAGACAGCCCCCATCCCCTTCCTGCCAGCTTTGGGGAGGTACCGTGGCCTTACCTTGCTGTAGCCTTATGAAGGGCACTCTTGGCTTGGGGGGCACTAACCCTGCAGCATCACCAGAGTTTCAGGGCAAGGCATGGTAGCACAAAGCACGATCAAGCAGGGGCTGCAAAAGTCTGCTAATTTAGCTCTTGAAGACTCAGTGGGCCTTTTTTAATTCATTACTAAGGCTTAAAGGACAACACACACCTTGTTGTCTGGTTGGAAGAGCAACTTAGGGCCCTTTAGCACAACTGAACGAAGAGCTTTGACAACCCCTTGGTCACACACCCGTTAGTTCTGTATCTGTGACAGGGCACGTGGCCATGAAGTCTCTCCCTATTTCTTGCTGTCTTTAGTGTCAATGTAGTTGGAGACAGAATATGAACCAAATCTTGTTTTTGTAACGTGAGCCTCTGAATCTTTAAACAAGGATGCTCCCGAAAAACCTTTTACTAGAATGTCCCTCTCAAACATGTCTATTTTTCTACAAGTATTGATAACACAGTTTAACAGTGTATTTTGTGTCAACTGTTAAAACTTGGAACTGAAAGAAGCTTATGAAGACTGAATTTTCTAAGCAGCAAGTACTGAACAGTGTTTTTCATTAGGACAGTTGAACAAAGATGACCCCACAATTTCTACCCATTCTATCCCACAATATCCAGTCTTCATTCACTCAGTCACTTTGTTATCAAATTAAGTGCTGTGAAAATAAATAAGCCTATTTTAATGCAAGAATACCCATAACAAATTAGGATCACTCTCAACTTGACATTTTGGTCTGTTTGGTTGGTGTATTTGAGTCCCTTTTCCATAAAAATATGGTGGGACCCATTAGCCAGAAAAGAACTTCAAACTAAAGGGTTGCAGTTTGCCACAGTTGACCCCAATCTGGAGAAAAAGGCAGATTCAGCTGGAAGCTTGACCTTCCCAAGGGCTGCTGAGACCCTCAGATTCTCACTTCCACCCACTCCAACATGCTTTCCAACTGGAAGAGCACCTATTCATTTATATGTCAACTTTATGTAACTAATAAAATTGTCTACCTTTTTGGCTGTCCCCTGGGTGAACTATACTCTTTTGGATTAACACATTTGCAATCACTGTAATGTCCAGTCATTGCTTTTTCATTCCTTCAAAACATGGCATTCCAGCCAGATTGGTCCAACATATAGCCACTCTGTATCCAGGAGAAGGAACTCTCTCTTCCCCCACTGCCTTCCTCCCTCTGTCCCTCTCTCGCTGTTTCCCCGGTTCTCCAGTTGCAGATCCATTGATTCAGTCAGTATCTTATGTTCCCTAACAGAAATCCAGCTACTGTCTCCAAAAACGTCAACCTATTTCTTAAGCACAATTTTCTCTTGCAGGTTTAACCAAACTAGGGCTCTGAAATGTCTATTTTTCATTGCACTCTAATTAAAAGACTATTTATGGCTTCCTTTAAAAGTCTAAATTTTGAAGTGTCCAGAGCAGCATTCTTATGTCTTCCCTCCCTACATTTTATTACTTTTTCCCCTTGCTTTTTTATTTAAATTTAAGTCAATATCTTTGGAATGTTCAGAAACTGTTTATCAAGTTGGGAGCTGATGGACAGAGTAACAGACCATAAAAATGCTACTTGAACTCACCAGAAGCATGTGAAATCATTTGATTAGCTGAGTAATTCAAGATTTTAAAAAATTAAAATAATCATACTCATTTCCAAGACAGCTTGCCAATAGTCTGACCAGTTTTAAGTCGTTCTTTCTTTGACTTGGATGACGCTCTATGAGATTCAGAAGAATCAAAAATATGGTTGAAAATTAATTGTCCCATGGGTATGTGGTAAAGATTATCTTCTATGATTTCCTTTCAATGGATGACTACAAAATTGAAAAACATAGGCAACATATGCATAATAGATGATTCATTGACATTGCATTACAGTATAGCAAAATAGTATTATCTTGTTTCTAGACTTTACGGCCAACCTGTATTTAAGAAAATGTTATCCTTTAACTTAAAATGGAGTAAAACAGCTCTCTTCCTAATATTTCTGACCTTAATATCTTGGAGAGATTCTGGTGCAGAGTGTCATCTAGAAGTCAAAACTCTATCAGCCTACTCCGAGTCTTGACAAAGCACAGTATTACAATAATAACAAAACAACATTATATCCTACATTGTGTGGTATTGTGGAGCATTCAGAGCACTTGCACAACTTTTCTCATTTAACTCTAATCCACCATGAGAACCTCAATATTATAATTTACATTTTATAGATGGAAAACTAGAATTTGGGCAAACTGAGTAACTTTCCCAAGGCTACAAGGCCAGTAAATCATAGATCCTGGTCTCAAATCCAGATGTTGAGGCTTATGACATAGGATCTTCTTTCTATAAAAAGGGTCAGCAAACCAAATCTGCTCACAAACTCTGGTCCACTGTGGTTTTTGAACCACTTGCAAGCTAAGAATGATTTTTACATTTTTTAAATGGTTGGGGGATAAAAAGCCAAAGAAGAAGATTTTGTGACATGAAAATTATATGCAATTCAAATTTCAGTGTCCATAAATAAAGGTTTATTGGAAGACAGCCACACCCATTCATTATGTGTTGCTTCTGACTGCTTTCACACTATGCTAGCAGAGTTGAATAATTAAAACTGAGACCACGTGGCCAGAAGACTAAAATATTTACTATCTGGTCCTTTATTAAGATATATTTGCTGACCCCTTAACTGTACTATTAAGTACTATTACTACCTTTAAGGACTAATTAACTATTAAGTATTGTACTGTACTGTTAAGAGATTGCTTGGTAACTTAGAATAATGATGTCCTTTTCCAGCATAAATCTATTGCAGTCACTCATGGGTCTCTTCGGGGAAAACTAAGGCAGTTTTTGGTAAGAGGGACAACTGCTTCACAGGACTCTGAGAGCCCAGTCATCTAGTTTGGTCTCAAAGAAAGACTCCTCCCTTTTGAAAACCATTCCCCCAGAGGGGTAAATAAAGTAAACAGCCAGCCAGGATTCGGTAGTCAACTCAGAAAGTGATCGAGTAAAACTACTCATTCATGAACAAAAAAGACATGGGAATTCCCAGTCCAGCAACCGAGCTAGTGCTCCGCTGGCACCCACAGGCATTTAAATACGTGGATAGCTGGGACAGGAGTCTCTGCTTAGCGGGGTGAACTAACTTGCAATGGTTGTCACACATCCAACCAGCTCCCCCTCCCCGAGCTGGCTTCTCTCTTATGCTCTGTTGGAGGAGAACTAAATAGACTGCTGAGATGTCTCTCTCTGTTTTCTTGCTAGCTTCCTCTAGCTTACAGTTGATCAACACCATAGGATGAATCTTGAACTACTGCTCATGTTTAATTGTACTAACTCTGGCTCCCTCTAGCCACTCGGCTAAAAGTTTAACATGCAAATAAAGAACTAAATGCTTCTCTTGGAAAACCAACAGGTTCTTTGAAAAGAGCTC